TTACACAGAGTGTCTTATAATTAACTATTACAATAAACTCGGCCATTTACAAAAAAAAAAAAAAAAATAAAACTCACTTTTATTTCTTTTCATGATGTTTAATACGTGTTAGAAATGTATAATATTTGCAAAACAAACAAATAAATGTCGCAGTAAATACAACTTTTTTAGAGGCGGGGATTATGTGCCCAATATCAGAGAGAAAGCCACTAATGATTCAAATATAGAACCACAATTAAAATCATTAAAAAATTTTGATCACGATAAACTCCCTGATCAGTTCCACGGCCAATCAATTTCACGTGCAAGCAACAACAACACACACACAGACGCACACACACGCACAAATATACATACATACATCCTCGATCAGTACAATCTTAACCTGTTAAAATCTAGGGTTAACCGTTACCTTCTTTTCCTATACGTTCAAAGTGCCTCTAAACATAACCTTCTACCTTGAGTGGCACCCGGGCTTTGTACAGGGTGAACTTTACTATAAAAAGAATATATAATTCTAACAATATTTGAACACTACAAGGTTTATCTTGCAATAAACAATACGTGTTAGAAGTGTATAAATTTCGAATTTTGTTAATAACGATATATTTTTCTTAGTATCTTTCTAATTTTATTTCCTTTTCCTTTCAAAATCCTCTCAATAATGAATACACATAAACGCACCTTTGTTGACCGACCTATAGATTACTTTGCATCGGGTTTCATAAAGACAAAGGTTGATGACCAAAAGATCAATAGTTTACCAGTGCTTAACCCCTTCCCCACCATTTATTTTGGGACGAACATTTCATTTACAGACGATTCTTTTTTATTTGTTTTTAATATAGTAACGAAGAAACTGAGTCACCTGACAAGCAATTCCATTAGACGTATTAACTGACAATTGGATTCCTTTCAAGTTCAGAAGGTCATAAAATGAATCAAGATTGACGTATAAACACGTCTGTAGCTGAATTATAAACGATATGTTTTGTCTGAAAAGGACACATTCTGTAAAAACGTATATACACGTCTACGCCGTTAAAGAACACATTGAGTTAGAAGTGCAGGAGATAACTCCTGAAATGGTTCAAAATGTGTTTCATGTATATAACATCAGAAAGAGACAGTTGAAATTCCTAGGAAAGAGGGCTTGGAAAATTTGATACTCACAAGACAGACTGAAGGCAAGAGAAACAGAAGAAAACAACGCATAAGCCAGCTAACGAGCTTGAGTAAATGGATAGCAGAACAAGGTTTAGGAGAAATAACAAAAAGACAAAATTTATTAAGAGCTACAAAGCAGAGGACATTGTGGAGAGCCATGAATGGGCAAGACATATAGAAGAAGAATTTTATAATGAAAAATAAACTTTTTCTATCTACCTACGGTATATTTATCATTTTCATCGGAAAATAAATATTTCTTTTATTTTAGAAGTTGGTTAAATTGTAAACACTATTCTCTCATAAATCATGAAATTAAATGATTTTTTCTTTATTTGTCTATATTTCTGAGATGAGGTATTATGTACACTTATTTACATTATTTGAACTATTGTCCTCATCTTTGTCGCCATATTTATCACAACGTTTCGGCCTTTGTACGCTCCGGCCTTCTTCAGGTGGTTGGAATATCGAATTGAACCTTTTATTTCGCTCACTGGGGTAGACTGTTCTAGTTCCAAGCACCATGTTTTAATGGATATCACTTGTCAGTTATCTCCTGTTAATTCCCCTCTCCAAGTTCTCTACTGCCTTAACCGGGTATTGAACTCACACTGTTTGGGTCCTGTCACTGGATCTAACTAACGCCTTTATCCACTGTGCCATGTTTCCACCTGAAGAAGGCCGGAGCGTACAACGGCCGAAACGAGGACAATAATCCGAATAATGTAAATAGTGATTTTTTCCGCATCGTAATTATAAAATGCAAAATATGGCCGTCTTTGTGAGTTTATGGTTGCGAATTCTACGCCTGAATCGGCGTTTAGTGTTCGTGTTTAGGTAAAAATATTAAAATGAGCATTTCACCCCAAACAAAGCGGGTGTTCCGCTAGCACGCAAGGGATTACAGGAAATTAGAGCAAGATTAAAGAGGGGTGTTTGAGGAAAGGATATAGAGAAAGACGGGGACCGAGATCAAGACATCAGAAGATGTCGATTGAAATTACATTTGGATATTTGAAGATTATAGCTATCAGAGAAGCAAATAGGAGGAAGGGAGTTCCACTGTCAGGAAGTGCAAGAGAAGCTGATGCTGGAGTAGAAGAGGCGGTTAAAGTGTGGGACCGAGATGCCAAACCAGTAGCACGCTTAAATTCATAAAGTTTGGGTACCAGTGAATGTAGCTCGTCCAAGCAGTTTCCATGAAAATATTTGTAGAAAAGACAGAGGGAAGGCACATCACGTCTGTGAGAAGTGGCTGTATTCCAGATGCCATATCGGGACATATCAGGTGAGTATCGACGAGGATTTGGAGAAAATGTAATCAAAAAGGAAACTAATACTTAACATCAGGAAGAAACTGTTGAGGTTTCTTGGGTATATGATGAAGAAGGAGGGCTTGGAAAATCTGATACTCACAGGACAGATAGAGGGCAAGAGGGACAGAGGAAAACAATGTATAACATACTTTGTGAGTTTGAGTAAATGAATGCAGAACATGGCTCAAGAGAAATAACAGAAGACAATGTTTATTAAGAGCTTAAAGGGACTGGAAGTTGTGGTGAGCCATGATCGCCTACGTCCCGAGGGGACACGGCGCATAATGAAGAATCATTTTCCCTAAATATAGAATTACTCTCAAAGTTTTCTACTGAATCAGTGATTCTCAATATTGGCTCTTCAGCCCACAATTGGGCTTCAGAAATTTTTAAAATAGGCCTGAAGCTGACCCAAGGTAAATAGGTGGGCCTTGTTATTTTTTCTACTGGCGTAAAACTATGAAAACAGTTTACTTCATTTTTCAAGGCAAATAATTCAGAAATTATTCAATTGATGAGTTTGGTTTGCATCCTCTCTCTCCTGTCGTCGTAGTGCCGACCGCTTTCCAAGGCATAGAGCAATAAATCATCATCAGAAAAGGTCTGAATGCAGCTGGGTTTCCTTCCCAAATCGAACCCATAAGCCTCGACCGTGGCAATGGAAAACGGCCGGATGGGATTATCAAAACCATTTAAAATGGGGAAGTCCTTGATTTGGGATGCGACCTGTGCAGATACATTTTCAATCGGTAATTTGATCAGGTCCGCGGCTGAGAAGGGGTCTGTCGCACGAGATGAAAAAAAAAAAAAATAGATAAATATTCTTCTGGGGTTATCGGCCCTCGTTCGATGGCGTTCCTTCGGAGGGTTGGCGGGATGGCGTCTCGATTAAGGGACGAGCCTCGCGAAACGGACTGGCTCTTGCAGCGTGTCTCACTGGCGATGGTGCGAGGTAATACTTTATCCATCATTGCGGCTGGCAAAGGATGGCAAAAGAAAAAAAAAAACAATTGTTTTGTTTATAGATGCTTTGTTCAAATAAATTTGTTCGTTTCTTTCACTTAAGGATTTAAAAATAAACGGACATGTTTTTCAAGACGAAAAAAAAATCAGAAATTAATTTAAATAGAATTTTCGACGATTTCTTATAATAGATTATTTTTTCAAAATGACTTGATACTTTTTTTTTTTACTTTGTGACAATTTTCTTTTCATTTAATTTATTTTTCATTTTTTTAGGACCACCATTTTTTATGCGTTATTGAGTTAGAGTATGAGAGAATGAATTAATAAATGTTTTTAGTTTTTGAAAGATTTATCTGGATTATATTATGTTAATCTACATATAATATGTTAATCTACATATAATATGTTAATCCACATATAATATGTTAGTCTACATATAACATGTTAATCAACATATACTATGTTAATCCACATATAACATGTTAATCTACATAAAATATGTTAATCCACATATAATATGTTAATCCACATATAATATGTTAATCTACATATATATTAATCCACATATATGTTAATCTACATATCTACATATAATATGTTAATCAACATATATGTTAATCCACATATAATATGTTAATCCACATATAATATGTTAATCTACATATACTATGTTAATCAACATATATGTTAACCCACATATATGTTAATTTACATGTTAATCCACATATAATATCCACATATAACATGTTAATCTACATATACTATGTTAATCCACATATATGTTAATCTACATATAATATGTTAATCCACATATATGTTAATCTACATATCTACATATAATATGTTAATGAACATATATGTTAATCCGCATATATATTAATCTACATATAATATGTTAATCCACATGTAATATGTTAATCCACATATATGTTAATCCGCATATAATATGTTAATCTACATATACTATGTTAATCCACATATATACTTAAATAGCATATACTATGTTAAATATAATATGTTAATCCACATATATGTTAATCTACATATCTACATATAATATGTTAATGAACATATATGTTAATCGACATATGTTAATCCACATGTATGTTAATATACATATAATATGTTAATCCACATATAGTATGTTAATCTACATATAATATGTTAGTCTACATATATATTAATCCACATACATGTTAATCTACATATCTGCATATAATATGCTAATGAACACATATGTTAATCCACATATAATATGTTAATCCACATATATGTTAATTTACATATAATATGTTAATCCACATATAATATGCTAATCCACATGTAATATGTTCATCCATATTTCCGCCATTAGTTATTTATAATTTATGAAACATTTTTATTTGCATGCAACGCATGTTTTAGATTTCATGAATTGATACAAATTGAATTTAAATCTCTTTCCTTCAATCGTTTTTGAAAGTTTTAATAATGACGCCAGGGGGAGTGTAGTCGTTAGTCAGGATTAATATTTTCTACTACAGTCAGTTAAGTACCACGTGTGATACA